GCTATTTTAGGTGTTGGGGATATGGCTGGTGACTGAGAGATGACCCTCATAGAGCTTATATTCAAGTTGTTGATGATGTGGTTAAGGTGGTCAATTAGAAATCCCAGGCCAGGTACGGTGGCTCTTGTCTGTAATCCTACAACTTTGGGAGGCTGAGGCGGGTGGATCACTTGAGGTCAGGAGTTTGAGACCAGCCTGGTCAACGTGATGAAACCCTGTCTCTACCACAAATACAAAAATTTGTTGAGTGTGGTGGTATGAGCCTGTAATCCCAGCTACTGAGGAGGCTGGGGCATGAGAATAGCTTGAACCCAGGAGGCAGAGGTTGCAGTGAGCCAAGATCACGCCACTGAACTCCAGCCTGGGTTACAGAGCAGGACTCTGCCTCAAAAAAAAAATGAGGCAGGTAGGTGGTGTGTGCCTGTAGTCCCAACTACTTGGGAGGTGGTGGCACGAGAATTGCTTGAACCTGCGAGGAGAAGGGAGGGAGGCGGAGGTTGCAGAGAGTCGCTGCATTCCAGCCTGGACAACAGAGCGAGACTCCGTCTCAAAGTAAAAAAAAAGAAAAGAAAGAAATCCCAATGTTCCTAAATGGAAAATGGAAGGACACAATGGGTGTGGATGCAGAGAACAGGGCGTTTCCCCTGGTCTCAATGGGTGACAGAAGGTAGAACTGATGTTTAAGATGAGCGAAGATAGCTGGGCACGGTGGCTCAAGCCTGTAATCCCAGCACTTTGGGAGGCCGAGGCAGGCGGATCATGAGGTCAGGAGATCGAGACCATCCTAGTCAACATGGTGAAACCCCGTCTCTACTAAAAATACAAAACATTAGCTGGGCATGGTGGCGCGTGCCTGTAATCCCAGCTACTTAGGAGGCTGAGGCAGGAGAATTGCCTGAACCCAGGAGGCGGAGGTTGCAGTGAGCCGAGATCGTGCCATTGCACTCCAGCCTGGGTAACATGAGTGAAACTCCAACTCAACAACAACAACAACAATGACGACAACAACAACAAAAAAAAGATGAGCAAAGATGAGCTGGGATGAGGAGGAAACTGCTCCAGGAAGAGGGAACAGCATGTGCAAAGGCCCAGAGGTAGAAAAGCAAATTGGACCCCAAACAAATTCAGTGTTTGAAGTGAAGAATGCAACCAAGAGGCAGGAAGGTAGAAGTCTGTGGGGCCCTGGTAAGAGCCTGGACTTCATCGGGAGGCAATGGGGAGCCACAGATGGCTATAGGGTGATATGGGGGGTAGAGAGGGATGTGGGAATCCACCTGATTTACCTCTGAGAAAGATCAAGGTGGGCTGGAAGATGGGCTAGAAGAAAGGAAGAACAGAAGCAATAGCCAAGGTAGGCCAGGCGCAGGGGCTCACGCCTGTCATCCTAGCACTTTGGGAGGCCGAGGTGGGCGGATCTCTTGAGGCCAGGTATTCAAGACCAGCCTGGCCAACATGGTGAAACCCTGTCTCTACTAAAAATACAAAAATTAGCTGGGCGTGGTAGGGAGTGCCTGTAATCCCAGCTACTGGGGAGGCTGAGGCAGGAGAATCGCTTGAACCTGGAAGGCAGAGGTTGCAGTGAGCCAAGATCACACTATTCCACTCAGCCTGGGCGACAGAGTGAGAATCCATCTCAAAAAAAAAAAAAAAAAAAAAAGCAGTGGTCAAGGTGAGTGATAGCAGGTGCCTTCCCATGAGGGGACAGTTTCAGGGGAGAAATGTGAAGGCTGATTTATAGGCTTGGTGATGAACTGCCTATTGGGGTCGGGGAGGGAAGAGGAAAAAATGATAGCAGAGGCTGGCTGTGGTGAATCATGTCTGTAATCCCAGCACTTTGAGAGACCAAGGCAGGAGGGTCGCTTGAAATCATTTCAGGACTAACCAGGGTAACATGGTAAGACCTACCTCTACGAAGAATAAAAAAAATGAGCCAGGCACGGTAGCGCACACCTGTAGTCCTAGCCACGTGGAAGGCTAAGGTGGGAGGATGGCTTGAGCCTAGGAGATGGAGGCTGCAGCAAGCTGAGATCCCAGCACTGCACTCCACATTCCTACAGCCTGGGTGATAGAGTACGATCCTGTCTCAAAAAAAAAAAAAAAAAAAGGTAGCAGGAGCAGAAATCTCTGGAATTCTTTCCACCTTTCCCCAGGAGTTTGTATCCCTCGCCAGTCCGGTCTTCTCACAGTATCATCCTGCCCTAATCCCAAACGTGCCTTTCCTGGGCTCATGTGGGGAGTTCGCTGCAGAACTCACTCAGCCTGCTCCCGCTCAGCCCGGGCCTGCCTTGCGTCCCAGAAGCTCCTTGCAGGCGGTAGTTTTCAGTTTCCTCAGTGTCATTTGATCTATGTCTCTCTCCACTGCTAGACGAAACGCTCTGGGAGGGTGACAACTTTTTCTCCTTTTGCTTCCAAGGTTCTCAAAATGCATCTACAGAGGAAAGAACCCGTAATTCTTCCTGTCAGTGCTTTGTGATTGAAGACATTCCATCCAGTTGACCCTGACGCTTAACTAGCTGTGATTCATCCCTTTAAAGTATGTAATTTTTGGGCCAGGCGCGGTGGCTTTTGTCTATAATCTCAGCACTTTGGAAAGCCGAGGTGGACGGATCAGTTGAGGCCAGGAGTTTGAGACCAGCCTGGCCAACATGGTGAAACCCCGTCTCTACCAAAAATACAAAAATTAGCTGGACATGGTGGTGCATGCCTGTAGTCCCAGCTATTCAAGAGGCTGAGGCAGGAGAATTGCTTGAACCCTGGAGGCGGAAGTTGCTATGAGCTGAGATCATGCGACTGCACTCCAGCCTGGGCGACAGAGCAAGATTCTGTCTCAAAAGAAACAAACAAAATGTGTATTTTTTGACCTAATTAATAAAAGCTACCATGTAATAAAATTTTCCTAAAAGTCCTTCAAGTTTTTAAAGATATATGTATAAGGATGTTCATTTCAGTGATATTTGTCAAAGGAAAGCAATTAACAAAACAGAGTACATCAAGAGGCTTGGTGAATAAATGATGGTGCATCTAGAAAAGAATAAGTCATTAAAATGTTGAAGTCTTTTTTGCTGTGTTTTATTTTTGTAGAAACAGGGTTTTACTCTGTCACCTAGGCTGAAGTGCAGTGGCGCGATCACGGCTCACTGCAGTCTCAAACTCCTGGGCTCAGGCGATCCTCCTGCCTCAGCCTTGCTAGTAGCTGTGACTACTGGCGCATCCCCCCATACTAGGCTAATTTTTGCATGTTTTTTGTAGAGATGGGGTTCTGCCATGTTGTCCCAGCTGGTCTTGAACTCCTGGGCTCAAGTGACCCTCCTGCCTCAGCCTCCCAAAGTGCTAGGATTAGAGGCCTCAGCCACTGCACACTGCCTGACAACCTATTTTTGATATGACTATTTTATAATGGTAGGATACAATGCAATCTTTTGGTGAATAAACAACAAAATCATCTATACTCATAGTATTTTTGAATAGGAAAGATATACCCCAAATGATTACGGACGTTTATATCAAAGTAGTGAGATAGAAGGAAATTTTTACTTCTTTGGGTTTTTTTCTTTTTCTTTAATGAACTTGTGTTATATCCCAGTAAGAATGGAAATCAAGAGACAGCTTTTTTTTTTTTCTTTTGAGATGGGAGTTTCAATCTTGTTACCCAGGCTGGAGTGCAATGGCGCGATCTTGGCTCGGCGTGATCCTGGCTCACCGCAACCTCCGCCTCCTGGGTTCAGGCAATTCTCCTGCCTCA